TGCCAGAGTTTTGTCGATCCCCAGGTACAGACTCTTATACAGAGCTCTCTCTTTCATCAGGAGTGAGACAGTAACTGTAATTGCTTGCTGAGCATCTGGAAGTAACATTAATAATGATGATAATAATGACCTCATAGGATGTATAATTTGGGGGATTAAAGAACATTTACAAGCTTATTGTGTCATAGTTAATGATGAGGTGCCAAGTTTTCTTGCCACCACCCTTCCCAGTGGTATTTCCTGCTTGGATCAGAGAACTAATTATAGTAAACGGTGCCCTTTCAAAGAACTTGCCCCATCCTCATGCATATGCTAGTATAAAGATACTGAACTGTTGTAGTGTTGTTTTCAGAGACAATATATTAATGTTGTTTTGCATTTGTCTAACAAAATTTGTATAATGTAATCATTTAGTGTTTATTTTATTGTGTGTACCTTCTACTCAGAGGGTTGGCATTATTGTTCCTAACAGTGACGGATACAAGCAGATCATGCCTTATGACCTCTACCATCCCCTTCCTCGGTACGTAAATCAACCATCCTGATGCTAGAATTAGTAAACCAGCCTTCTGCTTCTTTTATATATCTATGTAGACGTAGATTGTGTGTTTTTCTGTAAAAGTAAGATGGTAGATAGTATATTTTGCAACCCATCCTGAGCTCTGCTTCTGGATAGTACTGGGCTGCTCAGACTCTAAGCTTGTCATTCAAGAACCATTTTAAGATAGGATCCTATGACACTGAAGCGGACACAGTCATTGACTCTGATTAGATACAGTGTATGGGTTATGTTGTGTCTTTGTTTCACTCCCTTTGTCCTCTTCTGTTTCTCTGCAGTAGGACCCTAGACATTAAAGCCCTGTTGCTAACTGTTAGGGAAACACAGCCTGAAGTATTATCACAGTACCGCAAATGTGGGATTCCAGATGTCATACCACTCTGCAGAGGGGCTTTAAAGATCTTCTTTGTGTTCCAAAGAAATTATAATTGTGGATCAAAAGGCAATGTTTTCCCATCCTTATTGTTCAGAACATTTGGGGGACATTTTTTTTTTTCCAAAACATCCAATTCCATGCGCTGTGTTGCTTTTTAAAGTACAGTCTTTTTTTTTTTTTAACTAGAAAAAAACATGAAAGTGAGGAACTTTTAAGGGAACATGTTCTCTTTATTGATATATTCATACGAAAACTGGAGAGGCTCAAAAATATGCTAGCTCCTGAGTATATGGTCTCCCACATTGGAAACAGCTCCCCAGGCAGCAGAAATTAGAAGCGGGCTTGACGGAACCCCTGTGCTAGGAGACGCCTTTGCTCCCTTGAACTCTAGGGCATCAGCTGCTATTTAGAGCCCAGAGTTTCCATCAGATCGCAAATGGTGCAAATAAGCCATGGTAGTTTTCTGAATCTCAAACCGAACGAAGCCTAGAAAATAATTTTATTCTGAACTGCAAAATAAAACAAAGTTTGATTGAAAATCTCCAAAAGCTTCATGAAATGGAATCCAAACAGGGGCCCTTGAAGTCGTTGAGTTCAGCTCCCCAGAAGTGCTTCCCTGTCGTACTCCTTCCAAGCAATCACACCCTTACACCCTACATGTATACATGTATGTGTTTACACTAATATACAGATATGTGCATTTAGTGCATATGTAGTCCCACAGCGGTGTACACACAGACAGATATTTAGATTAATACATGTACACCAGCACAAGCTGTCATCCAGCCTCTACGTAACTACTTCCAGTGACTGGTAGAGAACTCACTTTTCACCATCCTAATGGTAGCATGTAGAGAGGGGCATTGGATTTATACTCCATAGAGCTGTTTGGGGGTATTTTTTAAGTTCTTCCACTAAGGGTTTACCTCATTAATCAGCTCCCTCCCCCTTTTCTATGACTATATTGATAAAGATGATACATGACTTTAGGATGCTACTGATAGATCATTTTGCTGGCTTGATCCAGAACCAAACTTCTATAGTAAATGCTTCTTGACAAAAAGAAATGGAATGAAAATATAACAAGACTAAGTTAACTGAACCAAGATTTCATTTCATTTCAGTTTCTGTATCTGTAGAATAAGTATCCACAGGACACACACATCTGTTTGTGGGAAGGCCCCAGAATATTTTACAATAAAAGCAAAGTTGGGTGTCAGGGGTGAGCAATGTCAAGTTTATGTTTTTCTTGTAATAGCACTCCTAAGTTTCTTTCATATCTATGATCTCTCATTTATATTTCTCTGGTATGACTAATGCCCGTCTTAGGTTAAACTTCATTTCTTATATGTCTGATTTCCCCCAAATGCCAAAAGCCCAGTATTCTCAATGACAGATTGAAATGAGCCTCCTTAATGTTATCCTGTGTACACATTGGCCTGTCTGTGCATCACAATGGAAAGGGGCAATCGCAAATAAACAGACTGTATTTCATACTCCTTGCACTTCTGTCACTGAGCTAATTCTAAAGTTAGATATTCTGCTTAATTGATAAAATCTTAGTAAATGGAAGAATTTCTGCAAATATGTTTTTCCAAGAAGACTTGAGTCTCAAAAATGACCCAAAGTTAAGAACTGAAGCTCAAAAATGATTCTCAAATGGCAGCTACCTTCTGATCAAGGCAGAAGGCTTTACATACTGATTATTTAAATAGGTTTGACAAAGCCCAGTTAATGAATTTTTAGATTTTTTTTCTTGCTTTCAGTCTTTGACTGGAACACATATATGAACATAATAGAAGAATGGAGTCTCATTAATTCATAATTAAAATATACAAATTTTCCACATCACTCTTAGTTTTGAGAATTTCTTAAACTAAACACACTATGTGTTTAAAAAATTAAAAGCCATTGGAGTTAAAATATGTGATATATGAACTCATTTTTTATTCTTCCAGGACAGGAATCTTGGATATGTGCTTTCCCCACCCCCCAAGCACTTACCTGGTCCTTGTTTTAAGATATTCTAACTGATGCCTTCTCTCAGCTTTTATTATACTTTCTTTGAAGCACTCAGACATGTTTTGCCTTGAAATTCCACATAACCCTATTATTATGTCAGGATTCACACAATAATTTTTCACATATAGAACTATAGTGGTAAGATGGACCCATACTAAAAATTCTTAGAATACTATTAGCATCATTTGTCTTTCCGTGATCACTGACACTGAAAAGGATACTTATTACTGTTTGTGAAATTACGCTATGGGTCAGGTCCAAATGTTGAGACAGAAATTAATCACTCTCTCTTTAGAAGGGTCAAGTTTAGGTACGTTAGAGTACCAATTAGAAAGTGTGCTCTTTTTACGGCATCTTCATGTTCTAAGAGATTAAATGTACATTCAAAAACATAGTCCCACTTCACTGTCAGATCAAATCTAACATGAATGTGTACTTATATATTCAGCCCAATTTCAGTGGGAATCAGACCCGTTATCCATATCCAGAGGGAAGCTCTCCAGGTATTTACATGGAGATAAATGAGAATCGGTCTTACCTTTTGGGAGAGAGGCCTTCTACAGAGCTGCTTCGTTCTCTTGAAAGGGCTCAGCAAGTCTCCTAAGGGCTAAACAGAGGGCCTCAGTTTCCCCATAATAGCATTTTCTTTTGTCTCTCCCGGGGAAATATGCATAGGAAAATATTGTACTTGGCAGCGTGTTTAAGCTGTTGGTAGTAGAGAGAACAGTTGTTGCCTAGACTCAAACAGTGCAGAGAAAATGTGGAGGAAAATCCTCTGTTAACTGGGAAACACACGATATCCAGGCTCGTGCAGAAGAGAAGTCAGGTTCCCACTATACATGAAATCCTACTTACAGAATAATTGATGTCTCCATGATATGCCCATGCAATATATTTACATTTAACTTTTCAAGTAGATAAACTTGGTGACATTTAGTTTATCTCTCATTAAAATTATCTCTCTCCTAATTCTAAGAGAAATCTTAAAGTTCTTTTGCATTCCTCATCCACAAGCAGAATATATGCAAGAAAGACAAGCTCCGTCCCAATACTTCTATTTTTAAAAATTCTACCTTCTCTAAATCTGCAGGAGGAGAGAAAAGAATCAGGCAAAGATCTCTCTCCGCATCTGGTCCCAAATGCTTCAGAGCTGTGTAGAGATCTAAAAAACCCAATGGAATTCTCTTAAATGTTATTGATAATATTACAATTTTCTCCCTTACGTAACTGTATCTTTAGATTCCGATGCCATCGGCCTTCCAAGCCAAACCAAACTTCCTTCACAATTCCAACAGTTCTTTATCAGGGGAATGCTAACTGCCAGTATCCCTCATCAGTTAGGGAATGAGAAGATAATGCCTCACATTATTACTTTTGCTCCTTAGTGTAATGATGGCCTAGTTTGAACATCAGAATTGTGCTGCACCCATGTAGTCCCAAAGCTGATGATTGTAGAGACAGGGGAGAGGGAATGAATGTTTGGTTTGCCTGGATCATTCATGAGCTTCTCATGTAAAAGTATCCAGAAGCAAAGAGACAACGTATTGCATTGAAAAGAGAAAGTATCGGCCCAGGTGCAAATTATTAACTTTAAGTGAGTAATCAGTTTTAATCTTGACAAAGATATTTAATGGGATTTAGTAAATATATATATAACATAGATACAGGATATATATTTACAAAGTACGAAATAAGATAAATATTATACCCAGAATATATATTCAAACTATAGGGAGAGGGACTGAATAGCCCCTCTTTGGAGTAGGTTACAGACAGCACGGGTAGCCCTGTGGACAGCTCTCCAAACAGTAATTTCTTACATTCGCTTAGAGCTTCAAGGTTTTCAGAGCACTTGTGCCAACATTGAATCTTTCACTCTCACTCAGCAGATCTTAGGCACTAGACGGCTTTCAGATCTCTTGACTGTAGCCTCTCAGAACCCGATTGCCCCAATAGGCACTGGGAACGGGGTTGGTCGGAAAGGTCACTGAGGAGGTTTGGCAATGTGCATGTCCGCCCTGATGACTCCCCTTGCTTCTGTAGGTGGGAGGCCACCCCGTGGACCGCGTGCTCCTCCTCGTGTGGGGGGGGCATCCAGAGCCGGGCAGTTTCCTGTGTGGAGGAGGACATCCAGGGGCATGTCACCTCAGTGGAAGAGTGGAAATGCATGTACACCCCTAAGATGCCCATCGTGCAGCCCTGCAACATTTTTGACTGTCCTAAATGGCTGGCACAGGAGTGGTCTCCGGTAACTGTGCCCTCTTTCTTTGTTCATTAGGAGAGTAAGTCCACTCTTCCCTTTCATCGTCATGACCCCACCAGCTACCCTGTGCAGCTCCCCACTTCTCTTGAGGTGTACCGGGTTAGCTCCTGATGTAGGCACGCCCCAAATCCAGCATAGCCAAAAGTAAATGAGTAAATATGCCTAACTTCAAGTCACTTTGAGAAGCCTCTCTCGCTCATAACATTCCCTCAAGTGGCAAAGAGAGGCAAGTGTCTGTCAAGAGTCACTGAGGCCAAATGACTGATCCTGAATGTCCAGAAGCTGCTCTGATGATAGAGCTCAGTAGACCACGGTTTGGTTTTATTTTTTTATTTCTTATACTTTGTCTATATCCAAAAAGGGTTTGAGTAGATTCCAATTAAAACTATCTGTATTATTCATTGGAAAAAAAAAAAATGAACTGGAAATGGCAAAATAATTAGAATGAGGATGAAGTAGGATAATTAAAAGCAGAACATTCTAGAACGTTAGGGAAACTGTTGCAGCAGCTTAAATAATATGTTACTTGGGGTTTCCTGGCTGCTACTGCAAAAGGTTTGAAATGGCAAATGAGATAGAAAGATGAGGAGGTAAACCACTGTGCCCCGAGCCACAGAGACGGCAAAAGACTTCTCACTTCACTATGTGGCTTTGGGGCAGCAGGATCAGAGCTGTGACGTTTCTCTCTATCTAGACTTGCTCCCTGGCGTCTAGAAGCACTGGAGGTGCCATCTACATCTGGCCGTTGAATCAACTCCCTGAAACATTTTTGACCATGTCAGTATAATCAATCGCATCAGCCATGCTGCAACACAAATTTACTATGATGGCAGTTTGCAAAGTGTTAATGTCTATGTGGGAGCTAGCAAAGTGACTAAATACAGTTAAGATGCAGTGTTAGTGATCAAAAGTGAACACACTCTACAGTTTCTTTTCTCCTTCTTTTTGCTGCTTGGTTTGGGACTTGGCACGCAGTGGGTGCTTAAGGAATGTTGCCTAACTAATCTAAATCTGAAAAATTGAAAGTGATTTAATTTTCAGCCAGCTTCACCCTAAATAGCCAAATAGAACAAAAACTCCATGAATGGTAAGAAATGGTACAAATCCACCGGGAGTCCTTACCTAAAAGCAGCCCTTTAAAGAGTCTCAGGTGAGAAACGAGGCAAAGTAAACAAGGCTTTGCTATGAGTCTCCTCTCTCTTACATTCTCTTTCCAGTGCACCGTGACATGTGGCCAGGGCCTCAGGTATCGGGTGGTCCTCTGCATCGACCATCGTGGAATGCACACAGGCGGTTGTAGCCCCAAAACGAAGCCCCACATAAAAGAGGAATGTGTCATACCTACTCCCTGCTATAAACCCAAAGGTAACTCAACAGGTGCTCTGTTATCAGTCTTTTCATTGTTATGTGTCTTCGGGGACTGTTTGAAACTCCTTGGGATATTTTTTTAAATATCCCGAGTGTTCTTAGTAACTCTTTCGTGTAGCTTAGACTCTACTAAGCGGACTTAACTCTTTCTAAAAACCTTTCCACTTGTTTTGCTTGCAAATTATTCTTAAGTACTACATATTTACATAATTCTCCCCTGGATCGTAAAGCTGTTTGAAGACTGTGGCTGAAAACTATCAGCTACATCTGCTTAAAAGGAGGTATTATAGAGATGTTGGAGAAATACATGTGTGATTTACTAGTCACATTTCTTGCTGTTAAAAATAATGCAGTGAGGGCACCTGGCTGGCTCAGATGGTTAAGTGTCTGCCTTCAGTTCAGGTCATGATCCCCGGGGTCCTGGGATCAAGTTGCACGTCGGGCTCCTGGCTCAGCGGAGAGCCTGCTTCTCCCTCTGCCCCTCTCCCTGCTCATGCTCATGCTCTCTGTCTCTCTCTCTCTCTCTCTCTCTCTCATGAATAAATAAAATTAAAAAAAAATAATGCAGTGAATCCAAGAGTATCTACTTTGGGAAGCATCAAGTACGTTAGGAGGCTTCATACTTCAAATTGCTGAAACAGAAAGGCGTTGCTTCCTATATTGAAAATTAAAACATTAATACGAGACTAGATTCCAGAATCATAATTTGAAATGGAAATCTGGAATAAATCAGAATTTAAGAGATACTGCAAATAATTTATAAAAAGTGAATTTTAGAAAATTTCTGCTGAGTGAGCAAGATTTATTATAATTACCCAGGGTCTCTCAGACTGGCATGCATGCTAACTGGACTTCTTTGCTGATATTGCTATCATCCGTGTCAAGGAAATAGAAAATGCCAAAGTCACAAACCAATCAGAAGTAGAGAACTCCTTATTATAAGCTATCCTATTATTAATATTAAATATGATTCCCTTTTGCTTCTTTTTAAAATTTTGTTCAGTTAGCCACCGTATAGTACATTGTTAGTCCCTGATGCAGTGTTCAATGATCCATTAGTTAAGTATAACACCCAGTGCTCATCACAGCACGTGCCCTCTTCAATACCCATCACCCTGTTACCCCCTCCCCGCCCCCCCGAAACCCCCAGATTGTTTCTCGGGGTCCATAGTCTCTCATGGTTCATCTCCCTCTCTGATTTCTCCCCCTTTGGATTTCTTCCCTTTCCTTTGCTTCTTAATTTATTTCTCTAACCATTACATTTCTTGGAAAATCAGCCACAGTGTAGCTCTTTATTTACTATAGGTTGCCCTTGGTGGGAGTGAATGGTGTCATGAAATCTAAATGATATAATGGAAATAAAAACAAAAATACCCAAAACCCTGATTCATTGTAATAAATGCGTCTCTCTCTCTCTCTCTCTCTCTCTCTCTCTCTCTCTCTCTCTCTCTTTCTCTTTCTGAGACTCAGTGTCCTCATCTGTAAAATGGGGCTAATAATAGTAACTACCTCAGAGATCATGTGAGTATTACATGAGAAACAGTGCAGACAGGGTGCTCAGCTCACTGCCTGGAATATAGTCAGTTCTCCACACATGTGATCTTCAACTCCTGACTATCATCGGCATCCTCAGATGCGGGAGGAAGAGGCCACCAGTACCTCTGACAGGATCTGCTTCAAATAGACAATAAAGTATCGCATGCCTAATAGTACCAGCTGAATGCTTCCTCACTGAAACAGAAATAGCTCGCCCTGTCAGATATGGTGTGGTTGACTGAGTCACTTAGTTGGGAGACGTGGGCTAGCTGTAAAATGATGTTTGCATGGGTACTGTGTCACCGTGTTTAAGTGTTAGCAAATCCTTCTGGCCTTAGCAGTATTACGTTTCTCACTCACTTTGTTTTCTGACTAGAAGAAAAGAAGTGATGCCCCTAACTTAAAATAGTCAATTATTTATTAGCTCTGTCTTTACCAAGCCACTTCAGAGAAAGAAAAGCAGCTTGTGGTTAACTATCAAGAATAAAATCTGGATTTTCACAACTAAGTAGTGAGTCTGGCTCTCTAAACATCATTAAAATGCCGTATAATTCTATGGTGTATGCATATAGAGACATATTTCTTTCATCTTTACAATTATATGTCATAAAATCGTGATAGAGCTTCACTGGCTCATACTATAAAGGCAAATATGCCTATAAATGATCCTAATAAATGTGTCAAAATGGGACTCTTGGCACTTACTTCTGTAGGAGCAGTTAGAACCTCTGTCTTTTTCTCCTTCATGGTTTTTTGTGTTTTTTTTTTCCCCCAGGAAGCAGTTAGGAAGCTTGTCCTGAATTGTGTGGCCAAAAGCTAGATAAATAGGTGACGCAGTCAGATTATGGGTTATGGACCCTCGATTGCTCATATTCCGACTGTCCGTGAGCCCTGGGGAGGTGCAGAATGAGTCAGAGATCTAAAGCAGTGTTTTGTGAATTTCAGAGTGGCAGTTTTGTTTGTTTGTGACAATAAGGAATAGATCACACTTCACCAAAAGGAAAAAAGAAAAACAAGTCAGAATTTATTAAAGGATTACAGTATAATTTATTGCACTTCATGTTTGTCTTAAAAGATATTGTTCTATCTTTTTAACAGGAAATAGTGAAGAGATACTTTGATGATTCTTCATATTCATGTCAAGCCAGTGTTCCTAGAGTTATGACTTTCATAATAAAAAAACTCTCCTTTGCTCTTCCATGTAATAAAAGGGAAACATAAAAACATTTTAAAATATTCTTTTTTCTTGATATAACCATCATCAGACGCAGAAATTTACCTAAAAACATCATTTGTGGTTATCAACATGGTTTCTAGGTAGTGCAAAATCAGGAACTGGTGAGGAGATGAAAGGAATTTCCCTAAAATTCCAAATTGGTTCTAACCTCTTCTCTTTTATATGCATGCACTTAATTCTCAGAGAAGCTTCCAGTAGAGGCCAAGCTTCCATGGTACAAACAAGCTCAAGAGCTAGAAGAAGGAGCCGCTGTGTCAGAAGAGCCCTCGTAAGTTTTAAAACCACAAGATGTTTTGCTTTTCAAAACCGACCGGTTTTAAGAATGTAGTATCTCACTGAATGTGGCTTCCCTGGGTTTTGAACCAGGTGTAATCCTCTTGCCAAGGGTCAAAATGAGCCTTTGGGACTCTCACATTGGAGATTTATCAGTTCCCAAGTGTTTCTCAGAACACGTGATCGCATGTTTGCTCTCTAAATACTTTTCAGTTTTGAAGTAAGAAAATGAAGGGGGAGTGTCTCCCCCTCTTCTCCAAAATCTGACCTCTTTTCTAAGAGGCGAAAGGTGAGAAGGCCCAGGCTCCCTCTGATGATGTAACATAGATTTGATGTGAAAGTCTGGGCAGCTTTTCACATTCCTTATATCCCAGCTTTGCAATATAGCCACTCACAAAATGTAAAGCGTAGATAAAATATGTCTGCAGGCAGAGGAAGTATATTAGCTTTTCTTCTCCCTTTCCTGCTGCGGTTGAGATCAAATGGATACCGATCTTTGCCCCACTTGATCACAGTCCCTTACCTGCTCAGTTTTATCAAGGCCATGAAATTTGCAAGACTACCAGGCATGGATTTTTTCAGATGCTCCAAAAGAGGAAGCAAGGAAGAAAGACAAACGATTGATTGATTGATTGATTGCTTGATTAGTAACTATATATCAATTGTACTAGATACGTATATCTGCTGCATCATTTTTTAAAAATAAGGGAAAGCACTTTAATGATCTGTTTCATTTATGATCAACGCAGTTTCTCAGAGTGATGATTTTCTGGATTAATTTATTTAATAGAAGCCCTAGGCTCTGTGCTCTGCATTGGTGCATAAGACATGTTACTCACCCTCCAGGAGCTCAGGGTACAGCATGTAAGATATGAAATGGTTTCAAATTCAACCCGTAGTTTACATTTCACCAGAGATATAAATTAACAGTGTAATCTATATATTCAAAAGCAATTTAGAATTTTCTCAGATCCATCCTGTTTGGATCTAAATCTGATATGGTGTGCCAGACCACAAATTGTGTCCCCGAATCACACCTTCAACAGCAAAAGATTGGAAAAGAATTTCAAAATCCAGATTGGTACAACCGAAGTTCATTTGTAAAGAAATACAATGTGTTTTTCAGTCACTTGGTTTCACATTAGGCAATGCATTTCTGACTTAAAAGGACAATAAGCAAAACCTACATTATTTTTGTACTATGAGGTTACCACAGCACCTTTTTCTACTTTTTGAAAAAATGACTTAAAAAAAAAAAAAAAAGCCACTAACCACTGCAGAACTTTGGAGGAAAGTCAGTGTTTAAAGATCACAGTGCAACCTTTACATGAATATATGAAGGCTTGAAGCTTTTTGTTTCTCTCCTGCTAGTACCTGGCTGGACAGGCCTCCTTGCGGCTAGAGAGGAAGTAAGCAGTTTATTTTGGAGGGGGATTAGTTCTTTATCCACTAAGGTCCCATTTAAGACACAGAAAGATGCCGTGTAATTGGAACTAGTTGTTCCTTATACTTATTCTTAGGTTAGATACATTTAAAACCAGACATGTATTATTCTACTTAAATAAACTCTGCTCTCCTGTACACAATATTTTGTTGTTTGGTCTAAAGCATAATCCTATCTACGGTATCGCATTATAACCGATGCTAAATAATATAATAAAGTTGAAATTAAATCAAAACATCTTACATCAATAACTTAACGTCTTTCCCATTATTAGATACCTCTCAAGTGAAAGTATTAAGTGGAGTTTAATGCCCCTGCAGAAAGATTACATAGACCCTTGTCAACCATGTTTTGTAACGAGCGTTTTCCACTAAAGGTCTGATTAAGATGCATTATGTTTACCTTTAATCTTAATAAAATCCCTAAAGTAGTTAACCACATAGTTTTCACCATTGCAACTATAGCCATATATTAGATTATTAAATTTTACTCTTGGTATAATGGAGTTGCCATCTTGGCATGATTAATCTGAATTGAAGTAGATTGTAATTGGAGCACTGGTGCCGGGTTAAGGAAATGTATACTAATATGCTCAGAACAATAATTACTTTTATACCAAAATGAAATAAGTGACAGCTGTAGAATAATGTAATGAAAGGTATATGGTTTCCACATCTTAATGCACTTTACATGTTTAGCGCACTGAACCCTAGGAAAGGTCCTACATGTCACATTATTTTTTTATTGATTTTGAATTTAAAAAATATAATTTTGCATGGTCTTAATTCTTTCTTTTTTAAACCACATAGACTAGTTTCTAAATGTATGCAGCAACCTATAATTACTCTCCATAGTATAATGAAAAAATGATATACTGTCAGCAAGTTCTTCCTTCCCCCCCCCACCAAAGAGACTCACATTGCTTAAATTAAATAGTAATGTTTAGAAGCTGTGGCCGGCACTTCTGAGCTGCTCAGAGAAGCACAAATCATGGTCTAGAACTATTATCTCTCACTTTGGCTCCAGCTAATAGAGTTCTCCAGTAAAAACGGTAAATATCGTTTATTTCTCCTGATGTAAAATAAAAATACTATCACCAGCCTGTCTCATTAAACAATATAGGAAAACCAGTAGCTTAAAATCTTTAGCATATGGAGATACTGTTATTGAATATTAGATGCTTGTGATAACCCCAAAATGAAAAAAAATAATAATAATTGATTAGCACTCTGGCCAAAGATATGTTGGAAAGTAACCACTCTAAGGTATGTTTAGAAAAAAAACTCTGATTACAAAGTAAACACTGAACTTCCAAGAAATAACTAAAACTTTATAGAACAGAAGCGTGTACAAGTATGGTTGTTCCACCGAGCCAAATGCCATGCAGAAGATACACATGCAGATATCAGCCACATAGAATACCTGAAATAGGGTGCATGAGTGGCTTGGTTAAGCTGCTGACTTCGGCTCAGGTCATGATCCCAGAGTCCTGGGATCGAGTCCCGCATTGAGCTCCCTGCTCACTGGGGAGTCTGCTTCTCCCTCTCCCTCTGCCCCTCCCCCCTGCTCGTGCGCTCCCTCTCTCTCTCTCTCACTCTCTCTCTAATAAATAATATCTTTAATAAATAAAATCTTTTTAAAAATCAAAATAAATACATATATACACATAAATACATATAAATAAAACCTATTAAAAAGAATACCTGAAATAAGTATCGCAATTAGGTCACGTTATGGTAATGCCCTTAATATGTTGAATTCATTGTATAAAGCTGCAGCTTTATTCAGAAATACTTTCAGACGTTGACTGTTTTTTTTTTTCTAGCAACAGATGGGTTTATTTATGATGTATTTGATTCATACGGTGCAAAGGTAGGAATATCGTGGTGAATATCTTTTCATGATATTAAAAAAGTATTTCCTAACCTACTTGGGAGAGTCATACCCTCCAAATTGATTTTTCACTAGTGGCCGTGGTTTGTCTTGACCCAGGCACATGTTTGGGGTTTTTTTGGTTTTTTTTTTAACTTTTTTTTTTTATTATGTTATGTTAATCACCATACATTACATCATTAGTTCTTGATGTAGTGTTCCATGATTCATTGTTTGCGTATAACGCCCAGTGCTCCGTGCAGAACGTGCCCTCTTTAATACCCATCACCAGGCTAACCCATCCCCCTACCCTCCTCCCCTCTAGAACCCTCAGTTTGTTTTTCAGAGTCCATCATCTCTCCTGGTTCGTCTCCCCCTCTGACTTACTCCCCTTCATTCTTCCCTTGCTGCTATCTTCTTATTTTTTTTAACATATAATGTATTATTTGTTTCAGAGGTACAGGTCTGTGATTCAACAGTCTTACACGATTCACAGCGCTCACCATAGCACATACCCTCCCCAATGTCTATCACCCAGCCACCCCATCCCTCCCATCCCCCACCACTCCAACAACCCTCAGTTTGTTTCCTGAGGTTAAGAATTCCTCATATCAGTGAGATCGTGTTTTTATCAGATTTGTCTGACAACCTGCAGCAAGAATATTTAAGCCAGGTATTTTTGTCTCTCCTCATTGGACAGGACAGTGTGAACAAGATCCAGCCCTGAACCGAGACTAAGTCATGTGGGGCTTTAGCCAGGAAAGCTGATCAAGCACAGACAATCTTATAAATAAATACAGTAAGGTGAACTTGCCTCTGAAGATGCTAGAAATCCATGCTACTCAATTAACACAGAAGGAATTATGGTTAGAGACGGACTTCTAAAAATAATAAGATTCTGGTCTGAGTTGCATTCTTGTGAGGCTAAGAGCCGTGCCATTCCAGCACTAGAAAGGGGCAGATGGAATGATGGAATTCTCTTTTGCTGTTATGTGAAGTATGTCTTTTTAAATTTGCCTCCAGCTATGAAAGTATCATTTAGGATTCATCATTTATTTTCTTTTTTTTTAGATTTCATAAGTTATTATTTTTCTTCTATCATTTTCTTTTATTTTTTACAGTGTTATGTTAGTTTCAGGTGTACAGTATAACGATTCAGCACTTCCATGCATCACCCGGTGCTCATCACGGCAGGTGCCCTCCTTCATCCCCATCACCTATTTCACCCATTCCTCCCCCCCACCTCCCCACTGGTAACCATCAGTTTGTTCTCTATAATTAAGAGTCTGTTTCTTGATTTTTCTAGGATTTAAATGTCAGATTCAGTCCAGCTGGTTGCTTCCACTGACAAATATATGGGGAATAGATTTCTTAATCTTAATAGATTAAGCCCTCAGAATCTCACTCTTACTTGCTGAGGGATCAGAACTACAGTGTGGTAGTATAATTGTCTTCATTAATCAGAAGCTAAATACATTACTGACTTGATTTCCCATCTCCTATATTTAACTTACTTTGTGGAGTTATATGCAAAAACATGACAACCATCTCAGGCCAAGTACACACAGCAACTGCTTTGACAGCTTCATTTCTTGAACAAAAATGATAACTCTGGTGTCCTCTAGGACATGTGAAGGCAGCGCGTCTACTGTTGCTGTACAGGACGTTAATCAGCTGCC